CGGTTCAGGTGTGCCAGGCCCTATGCCAAGCACTTTGTATACATTTCATGTGTCACTGAATCTCACAACCCCGTGGGTTCGAAGTCAAGTAGCCGGGTCTGTCGCTGGCCCTGCGACGCGCTAGCTGTCGGACCACGGGCGAGTCACAGAGCCTGCAAACTGCTTCCTAATCTGCAGCAGTAACTACCTCACAGGGCGTGAGGATTGAAATGAGCTCATAAATACCAAGCAACTAGCCCAGCCCTGGTGAGGGACGGCCACCGCCAGCACCGCCACCACACTCATCATTCCGTGTCACAGACAAGCAGCTGAGGCTTTGAAGTGGTTGGCGATCAGCTCAAGACCATACAGTCAGGACTAAAGCCAGCCATCTTGCTCCAAAGCCTATCCTATAAAGTCAGCATCCGTTACCTGTAAGACACCTCCTCTTCCAAACCTGCTTTCTACCTTTCATCTCAGATCTCTACTCCAATCTCACGTGACCTCTTCCCAACACGCCCGGCCCTCTGGTAGACCCTTCTGCTGGCCCTGTTCCCCTTCTCCCTGACTGCCAGGCTTCCTTACGATCTGATTTAAAACCTCTTTATACAATGAAAAAGCGCTCCATCTCTCTGAGACAGCTAGCGTTCATCACGTCCTTGCATTGTGCCTGAAACAGTGGGGGAACTCAGGAGAAGCCTTTTGATAAGTTCTTTTATTGGAAAACTGAAATTTATTTTTATTCGCTTCAACCAAGAGTTCAGTGCCCCCTCTGTGCCAGGCACTCGGAAAACAGGTGGATAAAGCAGTCTCAAAGGTTCACAGTCTAGTAATGAAGACAGACGCGGAACTGTACATTGTGATACCATGCGGGAAGCGCCATGAGTAAATAAAGCACGTTCTGTGTACGAGAGAGGAGATGAGGGAGTGACCCATCACTGGGCCCGGAATGTCAGGAGGAACTTCTCAGAGTTGATGTGTAAGCTGCGGTTTGAAAGCAGAGTAGGAATTTGCAAAGCAGACAGGAGGTGACGTTCCAGCCAGCAGGCAGGTAGGCACTGAGGACCCACGACGGACATACGCGTCGGCTCGGAAGTGTGAAGTCACAGGTGCACACGAGAGGTTACACGGCGGCCTGTGTGGCTAACACAGTACGCACAGGGACGGGGGAAAGTCAGGGGCAGACGGGAGCAGCCGTCAACCTCGGAAAGAAGGCCTCATGGTGTTCCCTGAGGAGGTCGTAGGCTGGTGATCTCTGGGTCCTCCTGGAAATCCCTCAGGACGGGGAGGGCGTCCGTGCAAGCCGCTTGGGTTTCAAAAGCCGCCGGCTGTTTCAAACAGGAAGAGAGGGGACGGGCTCAGAGGTCCAGGCGAAGCGGGAGCAGGAGCTGGCTGGACACTGAGCGCAGGCACGAGCTGGGCATCCGTATGTGGGCACACCAGGGCCCAGGGAAGGCTGGCACCAGGGACTCGTGGAAGAAGAGAGGGCTTAGAACCATGGCGACAGGAGAGATCACAAATGAAAAGGGAACCTGGGCTCCTGGCTGCTGAGGGCGAGGCCAGGGACGGGCAGGGGAGCAGTGAGGGCCTGGGGGTCGCGTGTGGAGAGAAAGGGGGAGCCTGGACAGTGGTCGCCTGGAGAAAGGAATTTCAGAGGAGGGAGCCAGTGGGCCACTGTCAGGAGACCCCAGAAGGCGGGGTCTAACCTCACAGTGCATTGGGAACTCAGTAGTTGCCATGGAGACATAGCAGCAGCCGCCAGATCTCTGCGGTTTGGCTGGGAGAGGCAGGGCTACGAGGGGTGCAGAGTGGAGGACGAGCGTGAGCGTGAGCGAGCGAGGTGGTGTGAGCTGGTGTGAGCGGGTCTGCCAGCTGAGAGGCCGGAGCTGGTGCAGGCGCATCTGGCCACTGGGAGAGGAAATGACGCTGGGAAGGAAGCGCCTCTGGTGAGTGGCAGGCGGGTCCGAGTGAGCTTCCTTCCAGACTAACCCTTGAGTTATTTTCATTTATGACGAATACCTTCTTTAAATTAGCGTAAAAGAATAAGGAGGTTATACCGGGCCCCTAGCTTTCGTTTTTATTGCCATAAAAGTGCCCCGAATGTCACTCGCTACCTTGCCCCAGAGTTGCCCGTCGACACAGCTCTTCTCCGAGCCCCCTGCTCAGGGCTGGGAGCCACGACCTCCTTCCGCCCGCTGTCCCCGTGGCACCCAGCACCTGCAACTGGCCCCATGTGCTAGAATGACGACTGTCTGGCTGTATAAGCATCTGAACACGTGTCGTCAGAGTCCATAACGTCAGTCATTGCACCCAGAAAGTTTGGCAATTAGGTGCATTTTGAAATTATGACCTACGTGAAACCTGACAACCCAACACTCTCTGATTCCTGTGGCAAACATTAAATGTGCAATGTTCTTCAAAATAAAAAGTTGTGATTTTAGGAAAAGGGCCCGATCAGCTCAAGCCATGCTTTCAGGGCCCAGAAAATGTCCTTGGTATGATACCTGGCGTCTGTGTTGTGTTGTACGGAGGCCACGCGCTCCCTGCAGAGGCCATCGTGGTGAGGGACCGGGCAGGACGCAGGTGTGGCCGCGGACTCGGTTATGTCATGGACAAGGCGCAGTCCTGGCGGTCCAGATCTGCACACTGCCACCCAGGGTGCACGCACTGGGCAGGGTCTCCCACAGGCTCACGCCTCTCTTGTGACAGGCAGCCGTGCATGGAGGACGCTCCGTAAGATGCCAGTGTCTTACGATGTGGAGAGACAGTCGTCCCTGTCACAGGAGTCCTAACCACTGCTGTGCCGGCCCCTGGGCCAAGCACATTCTGTACACTGAGTCTTTAGTCCTTGCGAGAGCCCAGTGTGGGGCCCTGGCAGCCCCATTTGGCAGAGGGGGAGACCGAGGACAGTGAGGTGGAGTAGCTGACCCCGAGTTGCTGCAGCTGGTAGTCGGGGGACTGGACCCGATCACGTGCCCGCCGACCCCCAGCCCCTCACATCGTCCACTCCAGTAGGCCTCCTCTGCCAGCGTGGACGTGAGCTCGGCGGCCACCCGCTTCCCCGCCATGCTCTTGGTGATGTGAAGTGACAGGCTCGAGGACAAGCCTCGCTCAATGTTAAGGTTCTGCGGCCTCGGGGGCCTGCCGCGTGTGAACGTGCCCTGTGAGCCGCGGGCCTGCGTGCTCTGTCCCCGGCGTTCGTGCTCCAGTTCCTCCTGAGCCATGACATGTGGCCGCGGGCCTCTGCCTTCTCTTTAGAGGTCAGCCAGCGGTTCCCCACGACGCACCCCAGCGGGCGGCAGATCATGCTCACCTACCTGCTGCCCTGGCTGCACAACATCGAGCTGGTGGACAGCCGGCTCCTGCTCCCAGGCTCGAGCCCCAGCAGCCCGGAGGATGACGGCAAGGACCGGGAAGGGGACGTGACCGCTGCTCGGGGGCTGAGAGGGACCGGCTGGGGCTCCCCGGAAGCCACGGCCCTCGTCCTGAATAACCTCATGTACATGACGGCCAAGGTACCGTCCCCACGACCCTGCCACTTCATCCCGGGAGACCCTGCTTCACCAACCCCCAGACTGCAAAGCCTGGGACGGTGGCATCTATTGTTTAAAACCATGCAATTACAGGGGAGGGGGTTGGCAGCGCACAACAATGCGACTGTCCTTAGTGCCACCGCCTCTGCACTTAGAAACGGTGAAGGTGGTAAACTTTGCCATGGGCATTATCATTAGTAATGATAAAAATAAGGCTAACGTATTTAATCCCACGCATAAGTGCGCTTTCAGTGGCTGAAAGTGGCATCTCCCTGGTGGATGGCATGTTGCCGCCGCCTCGTGCTCGTGAGATGGCCAGGACCCTGAACACTGAACTGAGCATTCTGTGGCCTCGCGTTTCCCCCACATGCGTCTTGGGCCGCATTCTGTTTTGTCTGTCGCAGTACGGGGACGAGGTTCCTGGGCCGGAAATGGAAAACGCTTGGAACGCGCTGGCCAACAACGAGAAATGGAGCAACAACCTGAGGGTCACCTTACAGTTCCTCATCAGCCTGTGCGGGGTTAGCAGTGACACACTCCTCTTGCCCTACGTAAGTGTCCCTTGGGCTCTCGGCTGTCGTTATTCCCATTGGCGGCTCCATCCGCAATCTTCAAGTCACAGCGTGCTCTTTGCCCCACATAAAATAGACATCGAATGTCCTCAGTCACGCTCACCTCCTGTGAGCTCATCTAGATGTTACATTAAAGGTCCCTTCTGCCCCCTGAGAAACAGGCGACAATGTCTCAGTGACACCCCTGCCAAGCCTTTGGACACAGAGCCTATGACTTAAGGGATGGGTGTTTTTCTAACAGTTACCAAAAACTGCCTTCCATAAACATTAGACCCATTATATAAGAAAAACTAGGTAAAACATTATTTCTAATAAAAATGGATCATTTATATTTTGATGCTCTCAAAACAGAATAAAAATGCAGAATATCCAGATTTTTCTCTTCAAATTTAGTTGGTAGAAAGAAATAAGCAGAGAGCAATCTTTCTGGGACGCCCGATACTTGGTGTTTGTGGTTGAGCGTGATCCGGTCGACAGAAACGACAGCAGTTTTAAAGCCTGCTCACCTGGCATCGTGTGGTGGCTTTGCCAGCGATTCCGCACCTGCCTGCCACCAGGACCCACGTCGGCCGCCTTGCTGCAGCTTCCAAGCCTCGGGTCTGGCTGTGAGGGCGCCCGTGAGGCACACCTTTGCTCCGAAGTGATTTCTAAAACGCTAACTCATCCGAACAGCTAGAACTCATTTGCTTCTAGGGGAGAAGAGCCTAGCAGGGGACTGGATTCCTTTTTAAACAAAAATAACTAGCAGGTTTTTCCCCATGGTTTATATAGATAAAATTCTTTCTCAGGATGAGACCTTAGATGGGCAGTTTTCAGCTTTCAGATAGACTCCCCGGGCCCCAGAGGTGACTTCCGTAAACTCCGCCGTCAGGATAGGTGGGCCTTTGGCATACATGCCCATCAGACACACGTGTGCAGAAGGCGAGTTTCCATCCAGACAGGACCGTCCGCGGTGGGCACAGAGCTGGGGCACCGGGGCGATAGCTCATGGGGTCCATGCTTTCGGAGTGAGCGGGTTACCGTCTCTGCTGCCCGGCGCCTGGCCTCCTGGAGGATGACAGGCTCCGGAAAGCAGCCCTGCGTTGCTTCGTTCTCAGATCAAGAAGGTGACGATTTACTTATGCCGGAACAACACCATCCAAACCATGGAGGAGCTGCTTTCGGAGCTGCAGCAGACAGAGCCGGTGAACCCCATAGTCCAGCACTGCGACAACCCGCCCTTCTACCGCCTGGCGGCCAGCAGCAAGGCCTCGGCCGCAGCCTCCGGTAGGGCGGGCAGTGGGAGCAGCTTGTCTTGGATCTCCGGGGTCTGGTGTAGAGCGCCACAGGGCACGAGGAGGTGGATGTGCAGTTCCTTCTCACTCTGCGTATGCGTTCCCTTTTAAGCGGTGGCTTCATTGGTGACAATGTGGGTGGAGCTAAGGAGCACTTCACTAAGAGAAATAAGTCAGAGAAAGACAAGTACCGTGTGATCTCGCTCATATGTGGGATCTAAAACCCAAAATAAATGCACAAAACAGAAACAAACTCATAGGTACAGAGAAGAATCTGATGGTTGCCAGATTTGTGGAGAGGGGGGCGGTGCTGGGTGAAAAGCGAAGGGATTAAGTACAAACTGGCTGCTACATCATAGTCACGAGAGGTGACGTGCATGCAGCACAGGGACTAATACAGTCAATGATACTGTCATAACCATGCCCAGTGCCAGGCGGGCACTAGACTTACCAGGGAGATCACGTCATTAATTAAATGTCTAACCACTAACCTGGATACACAGTCAATGATACTGTCATAACCATGCCCAGTGCCACTAGACTTACCAGGGAGATGATGTCATTAATCAAATGTCTAACCACTAACCTGGATACGTGATATATATGGAAACTAATATAATATTGTACGACAACTGTAATGGAAAAATGAATTTTTTAAAAGGAGAGATGGCTTAAGAATAGCTGAGACTCTTAAGGACGTTGTCGGACCACGGAAGTGGTTTCGTGAGGGTGGCGGGCCGGCGGGGCCCAGTGCCCACCTGCCCGGAGCTCCACACTGTAGGCCGACCCCAGGCCGGACACCGAGGCACTTAGGAGTCTCGTTTCTGGACCCTCCTTCTTGTATCTGTGGGATTCCCTCGGTGAACGCTCTCCCAAGGTTGACTAAAATGTCCCCAAATGTATTGCCACCTTTGATAAAGTGGCCTCTCAGAATCAGTTCATGAACTACACAGCAGCCTCCTCAAATCTGGCTTCTCTGCTGCCTCCAAGTCCCTGTCCTCCCGAGGCTCCACGCCCCACCCCTGCTGCTGACTCAGCGGCCTGCAGACGAGCAGCAGCCAGCGGGCAGAACCTCCGGGGACTCGGACTTGCTTCTCTGACATCAGTTCAGTAACCTCTGGCCCCAGAAATGCCGAAGCAGCTAACGGCGGGGCCGGCCTCCGTAAATAAGCTCATTACCCAGGTGGCCAAGGGGAAGAGGTCTCGGGAACATGGTGGCCTCGGTTTATATCGGTTTATGGGAGCGTTCATGACTTTGCTTCCACCATAACAGGTGTCTGGGATCCCCCTGTTCCAGTGGTGTGGGCTGGGCGTTTGTCTGGGATGCCCGAGATTGTGCAGAAGGGATGTTACAGGGAGCCCTTGCCTGGAGTCACCTGAGACTTGACCTTGACCCCTCCACATGCACTTATTTCCTGAGTGTCTTCCTTCTGATCCCACCCCAGGAACCACCTCTAGCAGCAACACGGTGGTCGCCGGCCAGGACAGTTTCCCAGACGCCGAGGAGGGCAAGCTCCTGAAAGACTCTGATGACAGGTTGGTGCACAGATCGGCTCGATGTCCTGTTTAGCGGTCGGCGATAGTCCACACAAAGGCAGTGGGAAGTGTCTGTGCGCTTCATAATCCCACACGCACGCGCGCACCCTTCCTCGCTCTTAGAAGCACAGACCGACTTTCCCAGTCTGCTATGCGCATCCTTGAAGGTCACGGTTTCTTCCTGAGCACGGCCGGTGAGGAGAAAGGTTGAGTCAGGACCTTCTGCTGGCCGACTCCACCTCAGGCCAGACAAAAGCCACAAGCTGTCCTGCTAGAGGGCACAGGTGTCTGGGGTGAGAGGCGCATCCACGTGGAATCCCAGCTCAGGGTGAATTCTTTCTTGTTGACGGTAGTTGTCTCGTGATGCGGTTTGAGAAGCGTCATCATTCTTTCTTCGCCTCGATTTAACCACCACCACCGCCTTTTCCCACTCAGGTCGGCCTTGATCCCCTCCCCTCGGGCTCTATATAATATTTCTCTCACCCGCCCCTCTGCCTTCACATCCCCCAGGATGCACTCAGAAGTGAGGGAAAGCTGGATCTCTGTTTCCTGCAGTTACTGTGACGAGCTGAGACACACACCAAGAATAAGAGAGTTGTGTCAAAAGTTAGGACTAAGGAAAACTTAAAACTTCATATTAACCTAACTTCGAGTTTCTCAATAGCTAAAGTAATTTTATTTATATATATATATATGGTGAATGTTATAACTTTCAGTGCATCAAAACAAGCGAACAGAAACGATTCGTTGGGAGCGACTAACAGGAAGTACCTCTAAACTCTGAGAAGGATCTGTCGTGTAGTTTTTTTAAGCAGCAAAGTGAACACATCTTTTTATTACAGTAGCAGTTTGTAAAATATGCAGAAGCAAACTCCATGAGGATTTTCAATACAACGACCCTTTAACAAAAAAGCCTATTCTATAACTTTGTAGTTCCACGAAAGGATTTTTCATAGGGAACTGAAAGCGATAAAGTATGCATCTCTGGGGTCGATAGAGGGGTAGAGATTAGTAACTGACAGCTGTCTAAGTATTAATTTGAACCAAATCAGCAAAAGTAAAATTTAGGAAAACATTTTGTTCCTGCAGTTTTTCTTTCATCAGAGGTCTTTTTGTGATGTGTTTCTTAAGTCCCGTATCTTTGACATCAAAGGCCATTCCCTCTACTTAACCTTTGAACTTTCTCGAGGGCTCGAGCCCCAAATGACTTTCTCCAACCCAAAGGGCCAACGGCAAGAACAGACCCGACTCTTCGCGGTCAGTTTTCATGTTCTCTTTGCCAGGCGTGCACGTCACTGTGGTTTCATCTTCCCCAGAGTACGGAGAATGTTCTGGAAGGAGCAGGCTCCTCTCCGTGGTCTCGGCCTCGTGAACACTCCCTAACAGCCCTCTAGATCCGACTCCAAAAGGAAGGGGAGGAATTGCCATCGGTTCTGTAATTCTCCCTGCCCGGGCCCTCCGGAGCTCGGCGGTGGAACCGCCAGATGTGACGGGTCTTGAGCAGCTCGGAGGCCACCAGGCCCTGTCCTGCTCAGACCTCCCACGTGCGGTTCTCAAGTCGCCCCGAGGCCTTGGCACCGCATAACACTGCCCTTACCAGCATGAACGTGATCGAAGAACTTCCACAGAAGGTGATAGGTTTGTCCCTTTTTTCAATTTCGTAAGTGCCAGTCTGATTTACACGATTGCGTGCCCGATCTGTATGAAACGAAGCGGACGTCCTCGAGTTTCTGTTGCGAGGATTCACAAAGGGACAGCCCGAACGGTGTGACTGTGAAGAATACTGGAAACAGCATTCCTGGGGAAAGATGGCCGTGCCAGGAGGAAAATAAAAGCAGCCGTGGATATATCTAAGTGAAGTGAAGCCGAGTCTCTAGTCTTAGAGCCTCGATACTCAACGCGTGCCACATTTAGCAACTGCAGTCAGGGATATGATGTTCTGAGGTGACACCTGGGCCAGGGGGGGCATCTTAATGGCACACCCAGTACCTTTTCCCGAAGCATCTCTCTCTCGCCACACGTCGGTGAGGACTGCTGGAGCCCTGCATCTTCTAGAAGCAAACAGGGTGTCGATCTGCTGTCAGTGAACCTCCAGTCAGGAATGCAAGGGCTTTCACCCCTACCTTGGCTTGAATTTTCCAGATCTTTCTGGAGACCCTTAGTTCTTTGCTTTGGCTGCGTGTATATGAAGTAGATGAAACCCGATTTGTATTATTTTATATAAAATAAAGGTAGACATACCATTTCACCACCCCTTCACCTCAGCCACACACTGGCCCTACCGTATAGGTCTCCAGATGTTACTCATGCTGTTGATTCGAAAGTCTTCGATGCCCCGAAGAGAGAAGGCATTCTAGAAATCCGAGGCAGAAGCATACAAACGAATACCTCAGAGTTGGATGGTGTCTCTCATTGTTGGAGACTTTCTCATACTATTTCTTTTGATTTCCACAACCCCAACAAAATAAACGATGACGTGTCCTCCTGACTCCTTTGGGGCAGGTGTGGGAACAGGGTCCTCAGGAAACGAAGGACTTGGCCGAGGTCACAGAGCGAATGAGTGAGAGAGCTCAGCTGTCAAATCCCGTGTCCCACCTTCTCGGAGGCAGCGTGACACGGGAAGTGTCCTTGCACTGCTGCCGTCCTCTGGGTGACAATGGGCAAGTTGTTTAACCTCACTTGGCCCGTTACCTCACCGAGTAAATAACGCTTGTCGTGGGTGAGTGAGTGAGTGAGAGAGTGACGTGTGTGAAGTTACTATTCATCTATTTTTGTATTTTTTTTTTGTTTACTTCTCAAGCCACAAGAGAGGCAAGACAGAAAAACCCGCCTCCCCCTCCGATTATATTACACCCAAGCAGTTACCTCTTTCTGAAGACCCTCCCATCATTTTAAGGGAAACTCTAAAGCCAGCAAAGTCTAAGCTTTGTTAGGAACCAATTTTTGTGTGTTTCCAGCTCTGCCCCCTTCCGCTTGTTCAGTCACTCAGCAATTTTTTCCTGACCGCCTGCCACCTGCCAGACCGCCATGTGAGCAAGCATTTATATTATACAGTATCACTCCCATTTTCATTCTAAATAGATGTCATAATTTGCTGGTTCAATTCCAGCATCAGCCTTGAAACGGTTATCGTTTCAAGGTTTGAACTTGTGCTGTGATCGAGTGACCACTGGCCCTCTCGAGGAAAAAGGAACATTTGGGGTACTGTTTTTATAGTATTTCTCAATCAGAACCAGCTGCCCAAAACTCAGCCCCTAAATAACAGTGTGTGTTTATGAGAAACAGCACATACACACACGTCAGTATTTCACGGCGTCTGTTCTTGTGTTTGAAGGTTCAGCAATGTCATCAGAGCCCACACCCGTCTGGAGTCCAGATACAGCAATAGCTCTGGAGGGTCGTACGATGAGGATAAAAGTGAGTACCACCCAGCTGGGGGTCTCAGGCGGACGCTGGAGAGGGAGTATGAGTGTTTTGATGATTCTGATTCTACCTACTAAAAAGAGGCCCATACATATTAAGTCACCCTTTACTCCAACGATGCAGGTGAGCGCAGAGTCAGCATTGTAAAAGTAGCTAGAAGCCAAGCAGCAGACGAGTCAATATTATAAAAATTCCGTTTGTATTTTTATATTCTTGGCATCTTTTTCCTTGGTGACGCCACTGGGGAAAGGCTAGTAGGACAGCGTCCTGTTCGAAAACAAATGTTGCAGTTTTTCTTGGGAGAGGATTTAATCTTTAGGCTTTTGTGTATCAGCTGACCCAGGAAAGGTCTGTTTTCACAGTAAGTCTCAGCAGCCAAGAGAAAACTTGGCTAAAATGGGAGAGATCATCATCACAGAAATTTCTTTGTTCCTGAGAAAGTTGACAGAAACCGAAAAGGTCGGGGCGTTCACTGATGTCAGTTAATCCCTGGACAGCATCTGCAGGTGCTGAGCAGATGAAAGGTGTTACTTGG